AGAGGCTCACCACAGGGATAATGTGGCCAAGGCAAGCTCGAGGCCCCCCGCACTGGGCCTCCCCAGAGGCCCCAGCCAAGACGACGGATCGGGAATCTGGACTAGACGGTCGTCGTCTGATCCTGAAAGGGGGACGGGTGGCCTGCGCCTGATTACTGGTATGGACGTTGCGGTCGAGGGCCCCAGGGTTATGGTCCAACACGGGGACAGCACGGTCGAGGAAAACCGGCCCAGGCAACAACCTATGGTTCCGAACCATCACCCAGTCAAGGACTTCCCAACAAAATCCAAGTAGAAACTGCGCTCGAATTAGCTTCGAGACACTTAAGTAAGTTTGTATATGCTATTCGATGTAGGCATAGAGAAGTAAGTCGTATTTCATAATACAGACTACTTGAACACGGCCAAGCTGTCTGAAATTCATAAAGAGCGATCAAATCTTCACGCCCGCTTCTTTTATCATATACCCTGCTTTCAAACTTGTCGACTAACACTGCAGTGACATGTGTATTTATATACATCTCGGACACCCCTTTGCATATTCAATACGGTGGTGCCTGCCGCAGCGTCCTTCCCAAAGTAAGGCAAACACCATTAGTGAACGAATTAACACAACCCGCAGTCTTAAGCACTTGCTCGTCCAAACCTTGTGAGAATTCTTTAGCTTCTTATGCAGACAAAATTTAAATCATACGCAACATCGTCCAGACGGTAATGTGAGTTTCTTCCCCTTGTAGAGTTCGCATTGAACAGTTTATGCATGTCACCAAGGATTGTTTCTTTACTAATATCAACGATTAAACACGAGAATGTTTTCTACCTTGAGAGCCAGCCTGTACCTTCAATTTGCGCAGCAGGTGCTTGTGAGCCAGCTCACGACCCTTCTCGTCCTTCGAATTCGAACAGGTTCATCGTGAATTTGCTGAAATTCAAAATGAGACTCTTAAGCTGCAAATTGGGCGAAATCATCTGTCAGAACGACATTTTCCAATTGCTCCGCAAGAAGGTTCGTAAAATGTTTGCTGAGATCTTCAAAGGTCAATTAACGCTGCTACAATATCTTGATTTGCCCGCGATGAGCGCTTTTCCACTATCAGAGTATCTCAATAATTTCCACATCCAGCCTATCTCCGCTATAATACTCTCGTGGAGAGTGCGACTGGGTGGTTGAGATTACTGTCGATCACGGAGATCGGTCGACTCGTCCTCGTGGAGAGAAGTAGTTGAGCAACATTTCTACAGAAAGCACTGGTGCAGCTATCCATTGGACTCTGACACTTTGGAACCATATCAGGTGCTAGAGCTTGATGTATTTGATTGTGCAAATATATCGATTCGAAAATCGAAAAGGAGAAAAGTCTGACAAGGATTCCGTGCCTTCTTTTTTTCAATTAAAATAAGGCATCAAAACCTAAAGTAAGACTCTTAAGACCTAAGGGCCATCCAAAGCCTACAGCCTCCGGCGCTGGGCCAATCCGAGGGATACCGCAGCAACGACAACTGGGTCGAAATTCTGCCTAGACGGTCATCGTTTGAGTCCAAAAAGGTGACAGGCTGCTTGAGCACAGTTTTCGGTCTAGATATCACGAGAGAGGACATTGGGGTTAAAGCCCAACACGAGGGTAGGGCGACCACGAATAGTGTCTTCTCCATTGTCTCAGTATCAGTGGCTAAAGGATCCTTGCCAGGGCTGGGGTGCGACAGGCAGCTTGAGCCCGACTTTTGGTCTAGATGTTACGGTGACTGACCCCAGGGTCATGACCCAACACGGTAGTGCAACCTAGGAAAGTGTCATTGCCGTCGTCTCCACAACAGGGTCGAAGACTAGAGGATTGTCATCAGGGCCTGAAAGGGTGTCAGGAATGAATTTTGCAGTAGAGAACGCGACCTGGGCCTCTATGGACAGCAAGCATTTGGCGGGCCAGGAGGTAGCAAGAGCGACCACGCCCGCTATCATAACGCTTCAATTTTCTAAATAAGCCAGCTGCAAGGGTCACTAAGACGCTAGCACAAATATTACGCCTGCCTTCAGCAATCTTAAGGACCCCGAATTTGGTTTCCAGCTCTCCGGCGCTAAACGTGGCCCATACGCAAGCCAGCTCTGATGCAGGCTTGCCTACCCAATGCTGCTAATTTCGACGTGTATTGCTGTACATTTTGACATCATTCAGCTCCCCAAACGTAGGCATTAATACCCAACTTTTGTTGAAGTTACTACGATCAAGGCTGTTCATGGCCAAAAGGGCCTCTCTTGCTCGTTTAGCTTGAGGTCCCTTTCATGAGCACCACAGCACGATGCGTGTCGTGCGGGTTAGTGCTTAATACGACAAGCCTTGAAATGAGGCATCATGGTGTAAACAAAAAGGTTCAAAATAACGGAATATGTGTTTTGAAACCTCTTCCGTATTAAAGCTCCCGACACTACAGCACGTGTTTAGTTTGACCTGAAAGCTGTACAGATCGTCTCATTCATGGAACACAGCTCCATCGTTATTTGCAACAAATCGTAGCCGAAGCGACACAAAAGCTCAATCAACACTAGATTAAGCCAAGTTGACTTACACTTTACCTCAAAGGTATACGAAAAACATGTTGCCATATTATGTGAGATCTGTACTGACGCTTGCCTTGTCAATATCACAATTGGCTTAAGTCAAACAGGTGTACAGAGAATTTGACAAGATAACACTATCGATACGAGTCATTTTTGGTAAAGACGATCTCACTCTGCGGCTGAATGCTGGCGAAACATCAACGCGACGACGCTTTCATGTTTTTTTGGAAGCTGTAAGTAATGCCCAATTCATAACAAAGGCCGAAGCGTCGTATTTGACATGTCATGATAGAATTATAAGATCTAAAATTGATGCGCTCATTAGAAATTCTTATGAGGCCTCCTATGTTTCTACCACTCAGTACCGTTTCGTGTCGTTCATACGAATTCGATAAAAGGCTGTGTCTTGTCGGCCTTTCCACAGTACTTGTGAAAGGTTTTGGCCAGACCAAACTACCATTTGCGATAGCGGTAATGCCCGAATTCGATAATCTAGTCTTGACGAAACCTAGCCGTTGATAATACTCCCTGGCAAACGATTCCAGGAATTGTAATGTGTCAGCGGCAGCTACGCAATTGTCCTCGGTGACTATTTAGGCGTATACAGTCAAGCGCTGCACACAAATGTTTGACGTGAGTGTCCATATCCGATTCCTAATGTTATTTCCGACCATGAACGATTATATTGTAGGAAACAGTCTGTTTATAGGCGCGATTGAGCGTGATGAAGGGCTTACTAGGCATTCAGCATTACTGGCGCGCTAGATCGTCTATGGACCACCATCAGCCATTGCCAGATCATTCATACCAGTGAATTTACCGCAGTGAGATGGAATCCACGGCCAGTTATAAGCATGTGATGATAATAGTTTTCTTAGTCAGTAGCACTACACAAGATCCAGCGAACCATTCCTGTTCATAGCACATTCTTTACAACAATCGGCGTTTGTATTAAAAAAATGCCACTTAAGCTCGTTTAAAGCATGTACCAATTTCACCTTGCCGTTAGTCTTCCTGGTCAAAAGGTCGACGTCATGTGTAAGAATTTAAGAAGTTATATTAAATTAGCTTTGTGGTTTACTAAACCAGAGCTTCTTTGATGTCATACAAAAAAACAGGCATCGTATTTGAAACGCAGTCATGCCCTCCTCAAATTAGGACAAGATGGGGAGTCTCATGTCACCACATCTGATTTACCTTCAACTAAGTTGAAATATGATTCCCAAGAGTTTTTAATGATATAGCCTTCTTCACTCTGTGGGTGTCCCAAAACTGGACTCATCCACAACGAATATAGTGACCGGCTTATCCTTCACAACTAATCATACTACATCGATGATGAGAAATACTATTTTATCCAAATGAGAGTGTTCGCCGGAGGCAATGCGGCGAGACTTGCACCTTCAGCGACTACCCTGATAACTTTACTATAGAATTAAAAAACTTAAGTTATCTCTGACCGTGAAGCTTCACTGCTTACACGGTAGTGCTGAATCAGCAGTTCGGATATATCACAATAGGCTTAAGTATTCGTTGATAAGTTTTAGCAGCTAAACTGACTTACATTACCGCGTCCCAGCAAAAGACTGTGAGCGATAGTCGCTCATTACATTAAGAGCTCTGTCACGGATGACCGCAACGACAGCTTTAAGCTGCCATCACATCAGAGGTCCACTCTAGGCCATGGAATGCAGTCGTTTTTCTGTCTTAGCAAACATGCACTTAAGAAATGAGATAAAAGATCGTTTTCTGTATCATCCTGAGACCGAGCATGGCTACCACTTTTACGTTACCAGATCTACTCCAGGCGCTTACCGATGCCTCAGCTATTTTTCCTGACCATGTGTTGCGCCAAAAATATCATCGCTGTGCACGCGCCAAAAAGCACTTTTGCAAATGAGGATCGTAACTCACCAAGGTTCATCAAGAAATGAATAGTATCTGACGTTTTAATTTCGAGCTAATCCATGAATCATGGTTTTCAACTCAATACATACTTAGAACAGAAAGATATCACTTTTCCAGGTGCAGGACTAGACAGCACCCTCACTGTCAAGTCCTTACAATAAAGTTCACACCTTCATCGAAAGACACAACCAGCGTACTGTGTACTGTTTCAACAGTAGCGCGACGTACAAGATCACTCAGCGCATATAAAATATATCAGCAATTCGGAAAGTTAATGTTTATGTTTAACAATCATAAAGTGACAATCCACATGAAAGTTGTACTTCACACTTTAATGCGGCACGCAAATTTACCTTTTAAAATATTGTACAAATAAACAGGGTCTAACAAGCCACATCTGTGTGAAGAGTCACTATGAACATTATAACTGTTAAAGCGATAACGAGGAAGGATCGGTGCAATATATACTCGTATTTTTTTTGACATAACTCGGGCCACAGAGACATATCTAACAAGTGCCTCTCAGAATTATCTACGACAGAGTTTCACAACCTACTGTTGCTTATCCAGGATAAGTTTTGCTCGCATTAAAGTATCACTAGCATCGAAAATGATCAAGTGATATTCCGATGGAAGTATTACCGACTACAGAAAGTCCTTTAGGGCAAAGCCATATTGTGGTAATCGTTAGGTTCATCCCGAAAAACTATGGAACGAATTTTCTTTTTTCTTCACGAGAAAAAAGATACCATGGATTGGGCTCTAATCCAAATTGAAAAGCCGCGCTTTGCGCTAGTGATATATATAATAACCGGTCACGCAACTAGCATTAACGTGCATTTTTTATTAACGAGAAATCGAGACTCGGACAGTAAATGTCGCGAATTTTTGTACTACCTGAAAAGACTTAGCGCGTCGGTCACAATACTATTCTGCTCATTCAGTACAAACTGGTAGTCAGAATCGTTTATGGGAGAAATGTCGGCTAGAGCTGTTTTGAGATGAAACAGTTACCAATTTTATAAAGGGTCGATGTAAAGGTGCAACTACGCCTCAAATTTTTCGCGTACAAACAATTATTTAGGAAACGGTCAATTGTCGTATAGCGTTCAGGGCACAGCATCACTATCCAAGCGTCGATTGAATTATGAAATTTGTATCGTTTATGCGATCACCAAAGTACTTGAATTTTAGCCAAGCATGATGATTGTCATACATCGTACGACGAGGTTGACGGGCAACTTGTATGGGTTTACGTACAAATAGAATACGGTCTTTTCCAAACGTGAACTTAAAGGTCTAAGGTATATAAGAATCTTATGATCTCAACTGTTAGGTTTACTTTTATGATTCGGTCAGCTAGAATGTGCCACAAGTATACTTTTCAAAATAAAACTAGCCGTAAAGCTAGAAACTGACGAATTTTGAGAAATTCACGTTTTCCAAAGTACCATTAAACAGCTCTTAACTAGTATAGACATTAACTATGATCGTAGTACTTTACCATGATACTTCCGTGCTTTGCTTTGAGTCCGATGGACAGAAGGGTAATGTGAGCGTAATTCAAAAGAGGGATGGGATTCATGACAATTTTCTGCAGTCATCCGTGCCCTATCGGGAACCCACTGCAATCACAATAATATTGGATTTTCAGACACCTCGCTCAAAGTATGGACTTTGAGGGCACTCCTATCCAGGAGTTTGTTTCACCCATTATACAATCTAGTGCCGGCTCTCACAAGCAAATTTGACATCAGCATTTTTCTGCTAAACTTGCTTTGATGGGTCAGCAATTTTTCTGGCAAATGCATTTCCTGTGCGGAATTCTTTCAGATAGTTATAGCGATGCAGCCAAGAAATTTTCCAATCATAGCCTTTACAATAGATTCACGAGTCTCTATCTGATACTCAAACAGAAAGCAGTTTGTGTGTAAAGAAGCCCTGTCGAATAATTTGCTTCGTACTTGTTATCTGTAAGAAAAGTTGATGACCTCACATTGTTAAAAACCATCGGCAATTTTTGCGGGAATTGGCTCCAATCACCATGATAGTATTATAACAAGCGTTACAATTTGGGGCAACACCGATTAGCCGCAGAGAATGATTTAAAAGCCTTTTTAAGGACTGGAAAATCAAAGCCAGCCTAGCACACAGTACTTTACACTTCCTCAAATTTGTAGTGATATATTGAGAAGAAAACCTCGGCTAGATGAACATGCCCATTATCTAACCAATTAAATATTATTACCGCATTGAGTGATAAAAACAATGCAAGCGTCTCAAATTTCATTTCTTAGCGCTATCAATACGAGTAACGAGTCAGACGAAGCTCATTTAACGATTATGATAGCCTGATGGCCATGAGGGTGCAAATTAGACTTCGTCTTAGATGTGTTGTTAAGCGCGATTAATTGGCATTTTATAGTTTGAGAGCTGCTATATGACGCGACATATCCGCTTGACATAGAACGAGTTGTTCTACTTAATACAGCCAATACTCAACACTGAGCATGAACGAGACCCCCCTCTACTGCGAGGCTATCTCGTTAGTAAGCACGGCTCACTGCAAAAATTATGTTTATAGCCAATAGATTTGGAAATGCTTAACCTCTTATCAGTGCGTGTGTGGTACCTTTATCAATGTAGGACATTTTCATATGTTTGAATGCCTGTTGGCAGTTTGCCGGTCACGCTTGAGTATAGACAGCCATACATTCCTGAAGATACCGCCTGCAATCACGTCACTGAATCTTTGTACTTATATCAAGAAAATTACCGTTATTGTACTTTCAGTGACACGGTTATCTAGCCTAACTACTGCTAGACAGAGTTGCCACCATAGTTTCCCGTGTCAATCCGATGTGAACGCAATTTGCGCTTTACATTGAATGAATTTCCAGAGATCTTAGAGCCAGGTTAAGCTCTAGGCATACGCAGCATAATGGTATGCTTATACCGTGATGGTCAAAAATCACCGAAGAGTGAACGGTGGAACTGCGACCTTGAAGTGATATTTTTTAGTTGAATAATAATTTTTTTGGAGGCTTAACGTCATTTTAAATAAAATACTCAAATATTCTCTGGTCCACCCGACGCCTTCACAAAGTGGTATGGCGCTGGGGCTGTCAATTATAGTTGACTCATTGTATTACACGGCTACAATTATAGCGGAATTGATGCTTTCATTTAGAATGATTATGCGTCATGTGAGAACTTCGTGACGCTGTAGTTCAAAGTTAGCAAACTCAAAGGCAATATGCAGAGGCCAAAATTAGATAGAATCACTACAGCTTTCTAGTTGGTAAGAACATTCGGAAGCAATAAATCGAGATACTTGCAAAGTGCCGAAAGATTTAAACCATGATATTGGATTCTTATCATGGTTTCACTTTACGCGTTGAGATACTGTCGTATCTCAACGCGTAAAGTGACACCCCTAACATCTCGTGTTTATGTAGCTTATTTGAACTGTGTCTAACAGCAATCAACGTCCATCCGGGCGCAGAGGTATGCTGAAAACGTATTAACGTCTCAACTACCACTGTAGTTTCATTCTGCTATAGCGTCCGTTTAAGATTAAACTTGCTTGGATAGCTTCAACCCAATCAAATTAGTTGTTGCCGTTGAAGACGTCGTTTGTCAGGCGACTAATGCTCTCGATTGAGTGGGACAAGACTAATAATTAACTTACCACAATTCGTGAAATTTGCAAACCTAAAAAGAGATTGCCTTGCACGAATCCGACGCGCCGGTCCTGCGTGATGGACATCGTGCGGTCAGATACTTTGTAATAAATCTGTGGCAAGGGGCACTCGTCAGAGTTATATCCAGTATTTGGCAGAGTGAAGGGGTTTATTCTATGTATATCCTGGCCTCTTTGCTGTTTATGATTTGTGGCACACTCTCCAAATTAACCATTCTTTCGAAAAATGGAAAATCAAATAGTGCAATGTGTTACTCACAAGCGATTGGGAGCCGAATTTTACCAAGATCAATATTCGATTGATTTTTAGATAAACCTTCTCACTAAGGTACATGCAAGCTTCTGCACAGCCATTTGGCGAGCTCAAGTTTCCGCCTCGTCGTCATTGCCATACTTTGTACTTTGCAAAATAAAGCACTTAACGTCGGTCCAGCTGGATGTCTGCTCTGCGACAATCAAATTTAATAACCCCAAAATAGAGCGATGACAATCCATCCTCACTCAATATCAATTTGAGCGACATAATATGAAGAACTCTCTGCCAGGGTCAATACCAAAGTAACACTCCCAATTACTTGTATGGACAAATGTCGATTCCGCAAGTGGTGCACCCAAAAGCTGAGATGTGGTGTCGGAAAAAGTAGACATAATTCACTTTCTTGCTCATAAATAACCTGCAAAAGTCAAAAGGCTGTGCCGCATCGTGCAGCTTAGTCGGATCAGGACGATAAAAACCATACACACGAAACACAAAAGCCGTTATCGGCTTTTGTGTAACGAGAATTACCCGTCCGTATACACGTGGTCAATGAGGAAGACTTAAATCGGTTAACACGCCCCACCGCGTGTTGCTCGCTTCCGGCGAGCCGTCGATTTACGCGAACGAGGAGGAAAATATGACTAATAGGCCGAAAACCTTTCCTAAACTGGTAAGTACCTCCAGTTCTGATAAAACAGTATTGCAAGATATATAGTTGGTGTCAACCACACACAAAATTAAATATTTAAACAACATGTGTAATGGGACTGACCCCATCACATCTTGCCATTGATCGGAAATGTGCTCTACGCATTCACGCATGATTTGAATACATCGCAAAAGGTCTAAAGTCAAGCACGTGCTTCCTAAATTTGATAAGTGAATACTTACTGTCAAGTAGCTCCTAGTCATGAATAGAAAACCTAGCTGTTAAAACTCAAACACGATCAAGCGTTTATGACTTCTGGTAACTGCCTGAGTCAAAGCACCGCGTATCGCAAGAGCTAAGGCTTCACTGATGAAGTAAAATAGACAGTCGATTTAAATGAGGCATAATGGATGCATCCATGATGCTTCTGTCACCGCTTTAAAGGCTGTCTCTTCAGACGCATTTCAATACTTTCTGACATTTTTCTTATCGAGATTGGTGAAGGGTGTTCGTAGTTTGCGATGTAATAATTTAAATAATTAGCCAGGTAAAACCACTTCTCCAATTCATTTTGAGTCAGATCCGCTGACCAATCCACAACGACTCTACCCCCCCCCCCCGAAATTC